ATCTATAGAGAGAGAGAGAGAGAGAGAGAGATAGATAGATAGATAGATAGATAGATAGATAGATAGATAGATAGATGGGTAAATAGATTATTATACAGAAAGCTGAATACTTAGGTACAGAAAAGACGGATGGGTATATAACGGATATTAGATAGATGAATGGATAGCAGATGATGAATAGATAGATATATAGATATGTAATAGATGGATAGACCAATGATGGATGATAGACAAGTAGATAGTAAATGATAGACAGGTAGGTAGGTGACAGAGTGAATAAGGTTTCATGACAGAATGTCTGAGGCAGACAGTGTCAAGAACAGAGTTTAATCTGTGGTTACACAGATCATCCTAACCCTCAGTCCCTGAAGTCTGGGATCTTCTTGTTTCTCTGAATGACTCAACCCTGTGCAGCAATCCCTCTGGACGCTGCCAGTTCCACTTCTTCTTACATGACAGCTGCCATGTAATTAGATGAGGGATACCTCAAGGACCACATTGTGTCCTCCTCGGTCATCTCCATCAAGATCGTTGTCTCGAATTACATCACACTAATGGTCAGTGAGGTATTTACTCCAAGAATATGGAGTAGAGCCAATCCTCACCACCAAGCAAATGTCCCTGCCCAGCCCAGGGGTCCCTCTGATGCCCTCTGTCCAAGGCCTCTCATTACCAAAGAAGGTACCCTTGTATGAAGTGGCAGAACTCTGACCTCACAGTAATCAGGTGCCAAAAAGGTCGTCCAGGTCCTCAGGTTCGTCCACTCCTGGTGGATTCTTGCTCCCAGCAGACCTGGTCGTCAGAGCTGCTTTAGGGTAGTGGGCAGAGGTTGGTTTCAGAGACACTCACCTGGGAACCACGTCTTGTCCAGGCCTCTTTGTCCTGGGAGGGAGCTTCATTCCTGGGAGGAGGAGCATAGAAGGTGATGCTCCTACCTTATCTGAAGTGTCTGAGGCTCAAACACTGCATATCACTTTCTCTGCTCAGTTTTCCATCTGGGATTTCTTGTCATTATGCTTAACGGGACCCACGTCCTGCGTGAAAGAGATTTAAACATGAAGGAGATTGAAGAGTGACTTCTTGCCTGTCCCCACACCAGCATTAAATCCCACAGTTGAGTGTGATGTGGCTCTGTAGAACTGAGCTTGGCTAGCATTCTAGAATGTTGCGTTTCATCACCAAGATATCGTTAATGGAGGCAGAGTGAAAGATGATTATGTAGATAAAGATATAGGTAGATAGATAGATAATGAGTAGCTAGTGGATGATAGATTGATGATGCTTTTATAGAGATACATTAGGTAAATAGATGTAGATGATCGATTAGATAGATGGATAGACACATTTGATGGATAGATAGATGATAGAAAGATAGATAGATAGATAGATAGATAGATAGATAGATAGATGATAGATAGATAGATAAATTGTAGATGAATAGATACTGAATGATACACATTGATGCTGGTTCGGTAGAGAGATGATAGATCAATAGAGGTAAATGAGCCGGGCGCGGTGGCACACAGTTGTTGTCCCAGGACTTGGGAGGCAGAAGCAGAAAGATCTCTCTGAGTGCAAGTCCATCCTGGTCTACATAGTGAGTTCCAGGACAGCTGTGCCTTACAGGGAGACACTGCTTCAAAAAGACCCAAAAGAAAAAGATATCCATAGATGATAGACAGATAGATTTTGATGGATTAGAAAGAGAGAGAGATGGATTTGATAGATAGATAGATAGATAGATAGATAGATAGATAGATAGATACATAC